TCATATCATTGTGGGAAAATTCTTCTTCTACCAGTCCTTCATCACCTTAAACAAAATTAGGTGAATACATATCATATTACTGATTTAATGGTAGTCTCAAAAGAATACTTGATACTTTATTTTAGTTCAAGTATAAACACTAAGTATTGGCACCAAATCCCTACAAGATTGGGCAGTCGCCGAAGACTTTTTGATCTTAAAGGTCATGTTCACTGTGTAAAATAGTTGGCCTAAGACATTTTAGTGGAGGTGGCAAAACAATTGCTTCTTAATCCACGTTTTCTTGGTTCGTAAATCGCATCGAATGCGATAAAATGATGAGATGGGGTCAACAATGTGATATAGCCTCGCTGAGAATTGCCTCTGAGTATACTCCGCAAGGGAAAGTGACGGAAAACTCAAATATTCTCAATTTCATTCCGGTTATAGAGCAATCTAAACTGGTAGACTTCATCAATAATTTTATGAAGGCCCAAATAAATTTTAGCGAGCTCGATGAAGTGATTTTCGGCTTCGAGCTTAAGCATTTGTTGATCAAGCCTAGTTGGCAGTAAATGTGAACAGGTCTAAGGCGAATTTGCCCACCTATATTTCTTGAAGTATACATAACTTACTTGCTTTGATGTAGGTCCCAAGCCAGAAGTGCATGGTAGAGAAGGCGGCCTCCGATCGCTCTCTGAGCCCAATTGCTGAAGCAATTAAATAATTAAAATAAGACATTTTAGATGGCACAACTTCAGCAAAAGTATGGCTTTCATTTGCTAAAGGCGACTCACTTTCTAGTCAGTATTTCATGATCAATGCAGGAGGAGGCGAAAACCCCTCTAAAAGAAGAGATAGCGAATAAGGAGGCAATCACAATTTTTATAAAATTTATTAATAATACTAATATAATAAGAAAGGAAAACTTTAATTCGCCTGGACCAAATCTTTTCGACGAGATCCCCTTCACTATTCCGATCAGACTTGTGATCATTTGCACCTTGGCCTGGATCCTATAATTGAGAGTTTACCCTCTAATGGGATCTATCCTTTTATTTAGTGAGCTTTAGTAATAAGTATTTAATGTGAGTACTCAATTTAACTACTTATTATCTCACAACTTTTGGCTGACTTTGATCTAAAATCAGTTGCCACGTAATCGCAAACCAAATGATCGCTACGAGATTTTGTGTTCAAATGACGATCTTCCGTTTGGGACGACTGACTGATTTTACACAAGAGGTTAAGGGCTCATGGACTGCATATGATTGCAGAGATGAGAAGTATCCTATCCTATTGCCAGTAAGTTGGCTCTGACTACATAGATCGGAAGCACAATTTGCTGTCGGGTTTGTAGAATCCACGAGTAAGCATTTAGTTCACACATGCATACAGGTACACACCCTCAGACACCATGCGACTAAAGTTCGCATAATCTCAGATGGCGACATC